TCTCACTGGGCCAATTGAACACAGTCAACAATACAGATACTGTAATTGACCTGAACTTGAACACAAATCATTTGATAGACCAGCCCTTCAGCATGGATCAACAAGGAATTGTTTCAGCAACAGATACCTTTTTTAATGGCATCGTAGAAAGAGAATTAAGCCACCTTTAGAACTTTTTTGACCAATACATTTTACCAGAATTAACATACCCCAGGCTCAAGTTTGGCGTGCGGTATGACCTCAAGTTAACCCATTCGCCCCTGAACCGCCCGTAACCGCCCGTGCGGATCCAGGTCCTTTCTACCCTTTGTGACGTCATCAGTTTTAACGGTAAAGGACAACTTTCTTTGCTAACTTGTGCAGAGTGAAGAGATCTTTCAAACCATACCAGAATGAGCACAATTCAGTCAAGGATACCGGAGAAAGAAGCAAAAAACCACGTGACAAGGACCCAAAAATCTCCATGAAAATCTTGTTCCATTACCCACCTACCTTTCCTTTCACCTAATCCTAAGATCCTAAAAGCTTTCCTAAAAACTCTTCCCACCAACATGAAGCCTACTAAATGCCCAGCAAGAGAAAAAAAAATGAGGCAAGAAAAGCGAAAAAAGAAGGGAGGAGAGAAAGCGAAAAGTAAAAGTCAAGACTGCTGTCTCACTTTTAAACCCAAAAACTATGTCGAAATTTTGCTTTCTGCGCATGCCTGAACTTCGCAAGCTGATATTTTGCATCTGGATCAGAAGGCCGCCAAGTGTACGACCTGTAAACCGGTTTGTGGTAAGTTTTAGCTCTTTATAGCACGACAGTGACCAGAAAGCCACTCGACTAGCTTCAAAACGCGTTTTTCGGCAAAATCTCCAGGAGCGAATGGGTTAAGATGGTTTTTGTAAATCAAGCAAGTTGGCTTGGGTTATTGTTAGCACAGGTCTTTTATTCACTCTGATCCTACATGTGAAGAATCCCTTGTTATAATCTGTCATCTCTATCATGTCACAACCTGTAACAACAAATTAAATGTTTGCACACTAACTATTAATTGTGTGTGATATTATACGTTATATCCATTCCCTTCCCCCCAAAAGTAAAAATTTGAAAAACATTTTTTCCAGGTGTATTTATGAATGGAAAACATCGTGAGTATTCGCTTGAGTGGCATCTCTCACACTGCTATAATACATTAGATGGGAAACGCTTGGTTCTATAATACTTCCAAAACGCTATAAGTAAAGTAAAGTTTCATGGTCTCAAAACCCTGTGCAGACTAAATGAATGTCAGATGTTTGGTTTTACAAAACGCGTTGCAGACCAATTGTGAAAAGTTTCTCCTTCTTCCTTGCTTTAGGAAGTTATTTTTTTAAGGATTTCTACTTCTAAACGTTTCACTTCAGCAAATATTGTTCGATCGCTGGAAGACCTAAAAAAATTCACAGCTTGTACTTTATCGCTTAATGACGATTCTTCTGACCATTTTTTTTCTCATGGGATAATTTTTGCTTATGTCTCCGTTATTCTTTAACATTTGATTTGGCTGAAGACCAAGCAGAAACAGTAAAGGATGCCTCCTGTTTTTAAGTCGACCTTTCTATGTCTGGTAAGACTAATTCTGTAATTGTTTGGTACAAAATGCTCTGAACAGCAATATTCCTTTTTCCCATCTTCTACTTGATTAAGGATCTGATGAAACTTTTTTGGTATATAGGTGAGATCCGGCCGATTTTCTCTTTGATTATTTTATGTGGGTGCAGCACTTGTCTTATTTTGGTTACAAGAATCTTGTTGTTACGTCGCCATTTTGAGTATGAGGGCCCTTAGGCCTCGCTTCCATGCAACTTCCAGTTTTTTCCTGAATCAACGTATTTCGCAGTATTTTGCATGCTTTTGTGAATTTCGTGGATTTACTTGAATTTCACAGCCTCGCAACCGCGCGAAATATCACAAGCCCTGAGCTGCATCATTTACACTATACAAACTGGCGACTAAAAATTTGCATCTGGCAACTATATTTCTCCAGGTTGTCGCGAAAAGGCGACCTGAGAATTTTGTTAATTTCAAGCCCTGTTTAATATATTGTAATGTTCTAGATAGAAAAGAAACCTTTTTTACCAATAATTCAAATTCCCCAAAATCGCATTTTTCCAATAATTTTGGTCCAAAAATGTCAAATTTTTTTGTTGTCGTTTTTGGTCAAAATAAGACTGGAAATAATGTTGAGTGATTATCTAGATAAAAAAGAAACCTTTTTTTGACTATAGCAAAGTCAATTTTTATAAGTCCCAAAACTCGCGTTCTTCCGAAGGGGTTAACCCACCATTTTGGTCAAAAATGTAATTTTTTTCTTCAATTGTTTTCGTTTAAAACTAGACTAGAAATAATGTTTAATGACATTCTAGATAATAAAGAAACCTTTTTACACTGTAAAAAAGATAATTTTTCAGAGTGCCAAAAATCGCATATTTCCAAAGGGGTTAACCCACAATTTTGGTCAACAATGCAATTTTTGTTTTCAATTGTTTTCATTTAAAACAAGACTAGAAATAATGTTTAATGACATTCTAGATAATATAAATAAAGAAACCTTTTTACACTGTAAAATAAAAAATTTTTTCAGAGTGCCAAACAGCGCCTTTTTGCGAAGGGGTTAACCCATGATTTTGGTCAAAAAAGACAATTTTTTCTCTGTTTGTTTTGGGTCAAAATGAGACAAGAAATAATGTTTAAGGAATTTCTAGATAATAAAAATTACCCCTTTTTTTGCCATAAAAAATTTGTCAAAGTCTTAAAAATTGCATTTTTCTAAAGGGTAAACCTGTGATTTTGGTCAAAAAATACAATTTTTTTCTTTGTTTTGTTTCGGTCAAAATAAGACTACAAATAATGTTTAATAATGTTCTAGAAAGAAAAGAAACTTTTATTGGCCCTAAAAAATTCAGTCTTTGAAAGTCTCCAAAATTGCATTTTTCCAAAGGGGTCAACCCATGCTTTTGGTCAAAAAAGGTATTTTTTTTTCTTATTTGTTTTCGGTCAAAATAAGACTAGGAATAATGTTTAATAATGTTCTACATAACAAAGAAACCTTTTTTTGGGCATAATAAATTCAGACTTTCAAAGTCCCAAAAATCATATTTTTCCAAAGGGGTCAACCCATGCTTTTGGTCAACCCATGCTTTTCTTTATTTGTTTTCAGTCAAAATAAGACTAAAAATAATGATCAATCACTTTTTTGACTACAAAAAAGAGAATAGACCTTTTAACGAGTTGAAAAGCGATGTTGTGCATTTTACAACCCACATTTAAGTAAGATCATCAAGTAAATTTGTCTTAAGTTTCCCATGAAAAAATGCAGACAAATGTCTGGCAAATCTAAAGCAAGTGACCGGACAGATTTAGGCACAAGGACGGCCCCCATTTATTGTTAGTACAATCCTTTTCTATGAAGCTTAAGTTTACAAATCTTTTTTTGTTTTCAGAACAGCCGTTTTGTGAAAATCATCTGACATTAGATTCCCATACAAGAACCTTTTCCCATCAAGATGGCTTTTGAAATCGTCATATTAAAGGTCTATGGTGTACGACAGTACGAAAATTGAATTTTTAACATGATTTCACAACAACTGTGTATTCTTTGCCTCTGCTTTTTTGTCAAGAGGTCCAGTTCAAATCAAGTACAGAACGTTCTGTAAATTTTGTGTTTAAGAGTATTCCGTATATTCTGTGTTTTAGAATATTCTGCGCCAAATAGGGCCACCCCAAAGCCCTAACCCTAACCCAAAGCCGAATTGGAACTTGTATAGGATTTTATGCTTTTCCAAGTAATTAACAAGCTGTTCACAAATGATTTTTTTGAAAATTTGGGTTAGTGCAGAGAGTGTAATTAAAAGGATCCATCTCCTCACCCCCTTTATCTATTGGTGTGACTTTTGAAACTTTAAAATTTTCCGGAAATATTCCATGCAATAGAGATTGATTGAAAACCATACTTAATGCCTCATATATATGGTTTGCTGCGTATTTTATGCATATTCTTGGAATATCTAATGCCGACTTGTCTACTTTCAAACTCATTATTTTGTCATATACTTCAGTCGGGCAAATGCCACGGAACATAAAACCATTATTTTGGTGTCATAGTTCTATCTAAATACACTGAACGGTCTATGTCATGTTGTGGTAGTTTATCTCCTAGGCCATTTCCAACATTTATACATTTATAAAATGGCTGTTTAATTGATCACAAATACTCTGCTTGTCTACATAAATTCTATTGTCACGCAGCAGTTTCTTGATTGTATGTTGAGTATTTTCTTTTTTTGTAGTTATTACTTTGCTAATTAATTTCCTTGTGCATTTTATGTTTTCTTTGTTCAGTTCAAATTGTTTAGAAAAATAATTCTTTTTAGCTGCGTGGATAATCCTATTCAACTTATTGCTATATGCTTTATACTCTTTTACTTTGCCTGGGTCCGTACTGTGTAAATTAGTGTTTACTAATTTGTCTCTTTGTCTGATTGAGTGCATGATTGCTTTCAAAAAGTAAGGCCTTTCTAAATGCTTTCGTTGCCGTTTTGATGCTTTGCACAAAGGAGCATCTTGGTCTGTGATAGCGGTCAGATTGTCTACAATAGTAGTTACACTTTCATTAACATCAGGTGATATCAAGCTTTTGAAGTCAACTGCAAGTAAATCTTGGTGAAAGGCATTTTCATTAAAATGTCTAAAGTCTCGAAAAAACCTTGGTTCATTATTTGTATGCAGTGTGTTGGCCATTGTGCAGAATACTGGTAGATGATCAGAAATATCAGCAAGGCAGAGCCCAGATTTAATTAGCTTTTCGGGCGTATTCGTGTATATATGATTGATAAGTGTGGCCGTATGGTCTGTTATTCTGGTTGGTTTGGTTTGGTAATAATTGGCATAAAACATAAGCTAAGAAGCATGTCTAGGTACTCTGACGTTTGTTTATCTTCATTATATTTCAATAGATTCTCGTTGAGGTCCCCAAGGACCGACACCTCGTGTCCCTTGGTATTAAGTTGTTCTAATTGTTTTTTCAAAATACTATGAAATAGGTCTCGTTTACCTTTAGGATGTCTATAGACACGGCCTATTACAATATTTTTTTGTGCAGTACGTGCCAGCTCTATCCAGCATGACTTTATTCCATCATTCGAGATATACGTTTTAAGAAATTCGGATTTTACATTATAAATGTGCCTTGCTTAAACACGGTTAAATAGGAAAAGACATTAAGCAAATAATAATTATTTCAACATTCTGGGGAAAACACTTTGAAACAATTTTTTTTCGTTCGAATTGCACAAACCTAATCAGTGATGTAGAATGAGTTTTGGCTATGTTATGTTCCAGTCAATTCCAAAACTGCCCATCAGCCCCCAGGCATTTTCAAGACTTTTTAAAATTTTTTTTTGGTCGAATTCCCCAGTATGTTGGCAGTGTACATAGTCAAATGCCCTACCAGCTAGCACATCAGAAAGCGTCAAATCCTCCTCCGAGCGACCATTCAATGATTTTCCCATGCGCCAAACCATTAAATCGAATGTAAACATCCTACTAAACACAGCCGAAATATCTAAAGTCTCAGAAAGCTGTCTGACAGTGGTTTGTTCATTAAAATTTTTCATTCAAAAAATCCCACATTTAACAGGCTTTTTAAAAGGCTCTCAAAATTAATGCTCCAACAAACATTGAATATTGGAGCAATGCGCTGCACTTGCTGAATGTGGAAAGAATTACGAAATCCTTTTGCGTGCAACGCTAACCAGAATTTTCACATGAAAGTCAAGTGCCTATCTTGGCGTTCCTCATTTTGGGTCAAATTATCCATTGTATTGAGCAAAACTATACTTTATAGGCCGTTCCTTTCAAGGTCGAAATGAATTTTTTCTTAATTCTGTTTATGTTATTTGGTTGAGTCCCATGTTTCATGACCTAAAAGTATTCTCCAGCATTTAAAAAAACTTTTTAGTTTAGAGAAAGTGTCCACACTTTTTATCCAGTTTTTTTAGTTAATGTGAGGATGGTTTATGAAGCAACTTGCAAACAGATGCAATTTTCGGGGACAGTGTTGCATGTTGTTAACTGAGGGGCTTGAAAAGGACCGCGAGTTTGTTGGGGGATCCCCGGGCATCCTTCCCCAGAAAATTATGAAATCTAGGGGCTCGGAAATCAACATTCTCCTTGAGATGATATGTCTTTAAAAACACTCAGCCTGGATACTTCTACGTACTTCTAGTGCTTGCAGCAATATCATGGAGTTTTTGTAAACTTGATACCTCTCAGCTTTCATATATCCTGCCCTTAGTACACTGGCCTGCATGTTTATACAAGCTTTTATTCAAGGTTTACATTATAGACAAATAGGTAAATACAACTTAGACAAAGAGCCAGATCTGGAAAGTTATCCATCGATCTGAGAATGTTGTAGAACGATACCACTAAATCACATACATGTCCTGTGCAATTCTATCTGGCCAATCTCTGGATAGTCACATTACAGGTAATCCCACTTCATTTGTGGTAATCTTTGGTAAACTGGACCTTTGTCCTTTTCAGCTGAGGGGTGGGTGGGTGGGGATGGGTGGGTTTGTGTGCTCCTTCTTTTTGTTTTCTGTTATTCAGTTACTCAATGCACCAAATGCAAATTATGGTGGACCTCTCGGCCATCCCAGGTCTACTCTAGTTGTGTGAAAGCAAGGCTAGTGAGGACTCAAGAGTGTTGTTTTGACTGCTTGTCTTAGCAATTGAGTCGATCAATATGGTTCACTTCGAGTTGTTACGTACCTGAGCGCCCCCCAAAAAGAGATTTTAATCTAGCTGGAACTATCTTTACTTTCCCGAAATCTTTTCACAAAGAAAGTTAAGGATTCATGTGATTTGTTGTGGTAATGGAAAATGATTTAGAGCGAAAATGCAAGTGTGCTCGCTTCTCTTGCTTAAGAAGATAGGACTCACAAAAGTATTTGCATGAAAGAATTTTTGCAAGAGATAGTGCTGTTCCATAATGTTTGCTTGGTCTCTTACTTATCCAATGAAAGGTAAAGGTGGACATTCTCAGGAACGGGAGCATGTGCTGTCGACTTTAAGGTCTTTTAGATTTAACACCTGGAAACAGCGCTAGCTGCATTTAAATATACAATTAATGACAAGTGAGAATGAAATACAACATAAACAACAGCCTGTTAATCCTACAAGCCTGGCCATGAAACCATGAAACCATGAAACCATGTAAGCACCAGGAGAAAGCAACATGTGTTAAGAACAGTCCTTTGATCAAAGTTCACTGAAAAAACTGACAGAGAAACAATTGCAAACTGAGAAAGTAAGAAAAAGGAAAAAGGTTCTGGAAGGGATCAAGCATGCAAGTATTCGAGCATTTGAGCATTTGCCCTTTTGCGCAATCTATTTTACCAACTTGTCGAAGGGTTTCAAGATAGACTAACAGCGGTTTTCTAAAAATTGCTACTTTCATTGCACTGCTCAAACTCTTTAACACAGGATTGTGAAGACTGTTTAAACATTCGGCCTCATTGTAAACATTTCATGCACAGCAGTGTTCATGAGAGCTCCAAGGTTTGATAAGTTGTAATGGCAGATTCACTCATTCTCGAGAATGTTTACCTTTCCTTGGTAAGAGAATGGACAAAGCGAGCTTGAAACAGAACCATCCTTCAGGAATTCTCCCGTTCAAATAGTTTTGTGAATCTTCTCTTCTGAAGTGAAGTGAGCACACTTTTGTTCTTTTAACTCCATTCTAGTAAAGTGCTTCCTTTTGCTGCACGAAAACGCTTGAATCCATTACTATATTCTTAGTAAAGATCCTTGGCAAAGGGAAGATAATCAACTTTCATTTCTGCTGGGGTTAAATCTCCTCTTTGATGGCTGTTAAGCACATCATACCTCGACACAAACCATATTGATCGACTCAATTGTCAAGATGTGAAGGCAAAACAAAACTCTTGAGGCCTCACTAGCTTCACTTTTGCGCAACTAGACCCAGCCTAACCAAGAGTTCCCCATATTTTCATTCGGTGTATCCTTTATTAATTTAATTAATTAATTCATTTATCTATTCCTTTTCCTTATCTTCAACTGTTTACATACGTACTCTACTTGGAATTGAAAGCTAACTAGAAAACCTAAAAGTTTATTTAGCTTTCCAGCTTGCACATTTTATTTCTCTTACACAGGGTTGTCAAAAAGATTTTAGGTAGCAGGAGAATGACAGAAAGTAGCCGACATGTGTTTCCCAGCGAGGCCAGTAGGGGAAGACATATCACTATTGATATAAACAGTTCAGTCCAGGTTAGTAGCAGCTGTCAAACATGATTGCATCGATACTGCGTCTGAATTACTAAGTGAAACTTTGATGGAAGCATGCAAAGAAGCCGGATGGAAAGCGAGAGGCAGCAAAATTAAATGCAAATCACAAATAAAATGGTTCGATCAGAAATGCCGAACAGAAAAAGAAAACTTGCAATCCCTTAGGGAGAAAATTTCTCTTAACATTAATAATTCAGAACTGAGACAACTACTGTGAGACAAAAAGAAGAGGTTCAAACAAACTTGTAGACGGAAGAAACAGGAGTCTATCAGCAATAGTGGGGCGGATATGTGCAGATTTGGGGTCGGATTGTTCACTTTTTGTTAAAAGCACCAAATTTTCAGGAATGACGGAACTAATTATGACTATCAATATGTGATATTGTGCCGTCGCAAATTTTTCCTGTTAAACTGGTTTTTGGAGTGAAAATTAACAGTGGCCGCCATTTCGACCGGAAGTAAATATCATCTAACCGAAAGTACACAAAATTAAGCACTTTTTAAAGCCGAAATGACGATGAAATTGTTTATTACATAAACTAATAGTGGCTATTAATATGTGATATGGTGCCATCGCAAATTTTTCCTGTTAAACCGGTTTTTGGAGTATTACTAAAATGGCCGCCATTTTGACCGGAAGTAGACATCACCTAACCGAAAGTGCATGAAATTTAGCATGTTAAGGTCAAAATGATGACAAAATTGTTTGTTCTATGTTTTTCTAGATATTTATGTCATATAAAAAAGTCAACCGTGTGACAAATTAGCGGTTTAAATGAAAGAACCGGAGGTAAAAGTGGGATAAAATGGAAAATGCAACTTACTCAAAGAAATTCATTTCGGTAGTGAATTTAAAAAAAATTTGTGAAACAATGATTCTCACATTTTTATGCATAGGAAAGGCCAAACATACGAACAAATTAAACTAGCAAAAAACAGATTATTTCTTTTTACTTGTTTTAACTATTTAATTCACAATAGTGACCAACATCAAGTTTCTTCTGACTCACAATATCCCCTGATACAAGGTCAAGAGATTAGGTTTTTAGAATTAATAAAATTATCACCTAAGAGAAAATGCTTTGATCTTTAATCAAATTTTCTCAACTTATCCTTTTAAGGAAATGTATAGAGACCAGTTTGAAGAATTTGTAAGGGTTAAAAGAGTTGATCCACTATTAACTAGAATGCAGAATGCTTTGCGGCTTTCAAAGTAATTTGAGGTATAATAGCTCCACCATTTTGTGTGCATGTACATATTGGATTGAAATTGCTTTTACGATAACGTCTGCTTATTTCAAAGTTTACCGTTTTCAAAAAGCTTCCGGGAAATCTGTTTGGAAGGTAAATGGGTCCCCTACTCAGTCTACTCTTTACAAACAGTGTCTAGGTTGTTTAATTTCCCACAGCATTTTATATGAACAAGGACCTTGAGACGGGGACCCTAGAGGTTTTTTTTGTTCCAAGAAGACTAGAAAGTCTAACCCTTTGCAGATGACATCGGGCAACACTTCTCGTCAGTTATTTAAGGATTGTGATGGAGAATTGGTCCGGCTGGGGTTTGGAACCGCGGCTTCCCACTCAGGAGACTTGTGTTAATCCACCTGGAGCTAACCGGGCGGCGGTTTAATTCAGCTGTATTTCAATATCAAGTGAATCTGCGCCTCTCTCGACAGAAGTGAGAGTTAGTCTCTAATCTTCAATGTAACCCCCATGTCATTTAATTATCATGGACTGGGCAGCACTGATTATCATGTTAAGTCCACATGCAAGAAAATAAGGAAAAAGCATTTTCCGAATGTGCATAACTTACGTTAATCCACAGAGCATGTAAAACGTATTCTCTTGGACATAGTATGTGACAAATATGTTGCGCCGAGAACAGCTTGAAGACTAAGATCTGGGGTAAACATGTATCAGGAACTCTACTAAGAAACTGGAAAAAGTTATTTCTTTTGTAAAGATCGAGACAAGCAGGTTCTTTTTAGATTCCTTGCACATTGAGCAATGCATGTCATCTAGGGCTCGGGGGGGACTCCGCATATGAAAGGGGTGGGGATGCTGGTCGGAAATTTTGAATTAAACCCCTAAAGGAGACCGATCTGGACGTGGCCCAAGCTTTTTTTGACCCCTAAAAGAGACCATGTTAAAACACAGACAAATGACAAAACTTGGATTATATGAATGGAGTGAAAAAAACGAATTTAAAATATACATATCAAATATATATTTTTATATTTTTTCGCGTGCAACCCTAAACAAGACCTTCACGGCTAAATATGATGGCGTTTTGCCCAGAACACCCTAAGTGAGACCAAAATCCGAAATGCACACCCATAAGCGAGACGACGAGCATCCCCAGCCCTTTCATATGTGGAGTCCACCCCCCGGGGTCTAGGGCCAGATGTCCAGTCTTTTCCCTGCAACGTTTAAAGTCAATTCACTAGAAAGCATTTATGGTTATGCTATATCGCAAAGCAGATTCCCTTCTTTTTAAGTCTCTATGTTCTTTGTGTCCAAGACATTAATTTTTCATTGAGTCCAATCTCCATTCTAACTACCCATGAAGCCAAGTTAGCTTATCCTTATCACTCGATACATCTTGGTACTAATGTACATCGACGCTACCACCTTGCAGCCTACGAGATTGCTAACGTGTTTACTAAAAAGGCTGCACTTGCACTTCCTCCGTTCCATGCATTCACAGGATGTGACAAGGTGAATACTTCCGGTCACCTCCAGAAATAATCGGAGTTGTTTTCGCTTATACGTTCTTCCATGCGATAGAAAAAGGAGTTCTTTACCGTGAACTGACAAAGCCAAAAGTAGTTTCTTTGACCCGGCCTGCATTACTTAAACATTTCAAGGGCACGGCAAACCATGCTGGCCACATATGGAGTCAGCACTGAGGCACTGGTACCAAGCATCTCGGTTCCTAGTCTGCAAGATTGGGCCTGGATATCTCTAAGAGGAGAGTGGCGACTCTCCTGCACACCACTGTCAATAATTACAAAGTTGAGGGTGGAACTAGTTAAGTACGCTCGTAAGAAGGGCTTTGCCCAGAAGAGTGACCATCGTGAAAAGCAATCCCCAACTCTTTTTTTCGATTACAAGCACTCGTCTGCATGAAGTATCAAGTCATTAGGTCACCGAGATATCATCTGTTCTTCTTCGATATTCTGTATCATAGCCAAAGTAGGCTTAAGTTTAGTACGTAATTGATTATATATGATGAAAATACTAAATTGAGTGTATACTTTAGATTTAAAGAAATTGGCGGGAACGACAGAAGTTTAAGCTCATTCCTTAAAAGTTCCCCCTCTGGCAGTTTTACTTCCGGTGTAGCTGGCGGCCACTAACTTAAATCATCTCTATTCTACTTTTTTAGACAATTTGTGTTGAAATAATATCTCTTTGTATGAAAAACAGCTGCCTTAGGCATTTGCTGACATTTTCTTATCCAAGTTGCTAAAATTCAGACGTTTTAAAGAAAATGTTAATTTCACTTCCGGTTCAAAATGACCGCCATTTTTAAAACTCTTATTTTTCGCACTTAACGGACTTTTTGGCGATGGCACCATATCCTATTTTTTTAGGGTCTTGAAAACTATCATCATGCCAAATTTCATGCTTTTAACAGAAAGTGAACAATTGAAGCACTTATCTGCTCTACTACAAAGGCATGTCTAATATCAATATGCGGAACTCCAAAGAGACCTGGCGACAAATACATGTAGGAAAAATCTTTAACTAAGGAAAAAGAAAAACACATGGAGCTGAAGCAGTGAGTACGGAACAGTTTTATAAATACTTTTAGCAACAGAATGCGACCCCTCTCAATAATATACTAGATCTGGAGACAAATATGGAAACCCACAGTAACGAAAGAGTGGAAGGTCCAATTGATTATCCAATAACTGATGAAGAGTTCGAAGCTGCAATTTACAAACTGAAGGCAAACAAATTTCCAGGTATCGATAATATATTAAAGGAAATAATAAGAATCGGAAAGGAAGCCATTAAAGGGCATTTAGTAAATTTATTTAATCGAGTCTTAGATACTGGCAAATACCCTGCTCTTTGGAGTTTTGGCCTCATTGTACCTATTCATAAGAAGGTTGATCGATCCAAAGTCGAAAATTACCAAGGTATCACTTTACTCTCTGCGCTAGGCAAGATCTTTTCATCAATCCTCAACAATCGACTTTATGACTACATGGTTCAAAAAGGAATTTTGAAAGCTGAACAACGTGGCTTCAGAAAAATTCATGGCGCAGTTGATAGCATCTTCTTCTTTTTCCCAGGTGGGGGAACACATCACAAGGGATATGTGTTTCCTAGGTAGGGAACACATATCACTAGGGATATGTGTTTCCCGGGTAGAGGAACACATATCACTAGGGATATGTGTTTCCTCGGTAGGGAATACATGTCACGAGGGATATGCGTTTCACAGGAAGGGAACACATATCACTAGGGATATGTTTGCCAGGTGGGGAAACAGATATCATTAGGGATATGTGTTTCCCAGGTAGGGGAACACATATCACTAGAGATATGTGTTTTCCAGGTAGGGGAACACATATCACTAGGGATGTGTGTTTCCCAGTTAGAGGAACGCATATCACTGGGGAAATTGGTTTCATGAGTAGGGAAACACATATCACTAGGGATACGTGTTTCCTAGGTGGGAGAACACATATCACTAGGGATATGTGTTTCCCAGGTAGATAAGGTGCTTCACAAAAAAGAACATGTAGATCATGATGAAAACAATTTCTAAAGTTGATTTTTCCCCCACAGCACTTTATGTTTCCCCTGCAAATAATTTCAGAACTGAAGGACAAATGCAAAATGCGAGAAAACCAAAAAAATGGCGATATCTTAATATATTTCTTTGCTTTGCCACTGGCTTCTTAAAGATACTGCAATTATCCGCTGACCACTACACAGGGTTACTACTCTGCAACTTATGAACTAGACCACTTCTCAGTTACAAACCTCATCCCTTCCCACATAGCAGCATGGAAGGCTACACATCATAAAGCATTTTAGAAGAGTTAACAGTTATTCCTCCCCTGGTGCTGTGCCTTGTCGTGGCGGGGAGGCTTGTGTGCCCTTGTTACCACGAGAGCTATGATGGCGGGAGCTTATGCTCCTGAAAGGTAATGCCGGATTGCTCTTAGGGAGAGGGGCCAGACTAAACAGCACCCTGGTCCATTTCTAATATCAACCCTGGATGACATCACACCAGAGGATTTTCAAGCTAGCAGGAAATGACACAAGAGGACCCAGACACCCAACTCCAGGAAATGCAGGATAACCAACATGCCTACTCAGTAGGTACTTAAAGTGACTGTTCCTCTACACTGCATCCCTGATGCCTGCCCCATACATTCCAGATATCAGACTGGAAACTTATGGAAGATACTGCCTGTATGAAATCTGTTTCCTTACGGTGGCTGGAGGATTGGGTATGACTAGGTTCCAATGAAAGCTGAACTTGTGGATATGGTGTAGTGGTGTTTGGCTGATGAACTGTTTCGGCAGAAACCAGTGTCACTTGGGGTGGGTTGACCTTTGAGATGATAAGGATTTACTAGGATCGGAGATCCCAGACCACTTGGATCGTGGTAGATCAATTCATTTGATCTATCATGATCCGAGTGATCTCAGACCACTTATCCTCATTCAGATCGTCTTAAAGAGCTCACTCTTAATAAGCTACATGCCATGAGAGATCAGCAAACATAGAACCGGTCAACCTATAAACCAGTAAGTATGGAAACCAGAAACTCATACTAACTGTTCTTCCCAATTTGTAGTGTTCAACTACAAAGGCATCCCTTGTGCCTGCCCTTATTGCTGTGGTGTGGACCTGGTAAATCCAGGATACCCAAATAAGTTGGTACTCAAACTGACTGTCTCTCTACTCCTGTTGTGATTGTGGTCAGTGCATGACCATTTACCTGTCTTTATTTGATTGTGGCTATCATCATCACTCTTGCTCAAATCCTTGACGGAACACAGTTTACAGCAGTCAACATACAGCAGATTTATAAGTGGGATGAAGAGAGTGTTGATCAATGGCGGTTGTTGTTTTTTCAATTTCAGTACACTTTATGCCATAAAACATTAATTTGAATTTACATATTGACTCTTGTACTTGTTATCATATTTCGTATATTATTTATTAGAAGGAGTGTGGTGGCTAGATTTCTCGCTTGTCATGGGGAAGAAACCAGAGCTTGCATGGAGGCCAAGCCACTGTTGTTTTTTCCCTCCACCATGTGCCCTGGATTTGTCGATCAGGTATGTGACTTAATTCAATTTTTTGGATTAATAGCTCTCTAAGACCTTTCCTTGAGAATTAACATTATGTGGTTTTCAAGTTGAAAAAAGCACAAAGCATAACAAGAGTGACTTCTTAAACATGTATTTGGTGATACATTGTGATGCTAATTGCTCTCTGGACCTCCTAAACACATGATTTGATAAAAATAGCTATTTATCATCTAAAAAAGCCACTTTTGAGCTATCTGGACCTCCTAAACACCTGATTTAATAACACACCCACTCAGTCAGTTCTCATACTGACTGTTCCTCTTCACTTGTTGTGATCATGAATCTACAACTGCATCCCTGATGCCTGCCACATGTGGAAGATACTACTTGTATGAAATTGGATTCCTTATGGTGGCTGGATGCTTGTGTATGACCGGATTCCAATGAAAGCTGAACTTGTGGAAGGTGTAGTGGTGTTATGTGGCCGATGAACTGTTTCGGCAGAAGCCGGTGTCACTTAATCTACATAACACAAGAGATCAGAGATCATAGAACCGGTCAACCAATAAACCAGTAAGTATGGAAACCAGAAAATCATACTAACTGTTCTTCCCTATTTACATCTATTTATCATCTAAAAAGGCCAATTTTGAGCTCTCTTGACCTCCTAAACACCTGATTTAATAACACACCCACTTAGTGAGTTCTCATACTGACTGTACCTCTTTACTTGCTGTGATCATGGATCCACAACTGCATCCCTGATGCCTGCCCCCTACATTCCAGATATCTGACTGGAAACTTGTGGAAGATACTACTTGTATGAAATATTTGATTCCCTATGGTGGCTGGATGCTTGTGTATGGCCGGATTCCAATGAAAGCTGAACTTGTGGAAGGTGTAGTGGTGTTATGTGGCCGATGAACTGTTTCGGCAGAAGCCGGTGTCACTTAATCTACATAACACAAGAGATCAGAGATCATAGAACCGGTCAACCAATAAACCAGTAAGTATGGAAACCAGAAAATCATACTAACTGTTCTTCCCCTTTATCATCTATTTATAATCTAAAAAGGCCAATTTTGAGCTCTCTGGACCCCCTAAACACCTGATTTAATAACACACCCACTCAGTCAGTTCTCATGCTGACTGTTCCTCTTCACTTGTTGTGATCATGGATCCACAACTGCATCCCTGATGTCTGCCCCCTACATTCCAGATATCTGACTGGAAACTTGTGGAAGATACTACTTGTATGAAATATTTGATTCCTTATGGTGGCTGGATGCTTGTGTATGACCAGATTCCAATGAAAGCTGAACTTGTGGAAGGTGTAGTGGTGTTATGTGGCCGATGAACTGTTTCGGCAGAAGCCGGTGTCACTTAATCTACATTACACAAGAGATCAGAGATCATAGAACCGGTCAACCAATAAACCAGTAAGTATGGAAACCAGAAAATCATACTAACTGTTCTTCCCTATTTACATCTATTTACCATCTAAAAAGGCCAATTTTGAGCTCTCTTGACCTCCTAAACACCTGATTTAATAACACACCCACTCAGTCAGTTCTCATACTGACTGTACCTTTTTACTTGTTGTGATCATGGATCCACAACTGCATCCCTGATACCTGCCCCCTACATTCCAGATATCTGACTGGAAACTTGTGGAAGATACTACTTGTATGAAGTTGGATTCCTTATGGTGGCTGAATGCTTGTGTATGACCGGAGTCCAATGAAAGCTGAACTTGTGGAAGGTGTAGTGGTGTTATGTGGCCGATGAACTGTTTCGGCAGAAGCCGGTGTCACTTAATCTACATAACACAAGAGATCAGAGATCATAGAACCGGTCAACCAATAAACCAGTAAGTATGGAAACCAGAAACTCATACTAACTGTTCTTCCCCTTTATCATCTATTTATAATCTAAAAAGGCCAATTTTGAGCTCTCTGGACCCCCTAAACACCTGATTTAATAACACACCCACTCAGTCAGTTCTCATACTGACTGTTCCTCTTCACTTGTTGTGATCATGGATCCACAACTGCATCCCTGATGTCTGCCCCCTACATTCCAGATATCTGACTGGAAACTTGTGGAAGATACTACTTGTATGAAATATTTGATTCCTTATGGTGGCTGGATGTTTGTGTATGGCCGGATTCCAATGAAAGCTGAACTTGTGGAAGGTGTAGTGGTGTTATGTGGCCGATGAACTGTTTCGGCAGAAGCCGGTGTCACTTAATCTACATAACACAAGAGATCAGAGATCATAGAACCGGTCAACCAATAAACCAGTAAGTATGGAAACCAGAAACTCATACTAACTGTTCTTCCCTATTTACATCTATTTATCATCTAAAAAGGCCAATTTTGAGCTCTCTTGACCTCCTAAACACCTGATTTAATAACACACCCACTTAGTGAGTTCTCATACTGACTGTACCTCTTCACTTGCTGTGATCATGGATCCACAACTGCATCCCTGATGCCTGCCCCATACATTCCAGATATCTGACTGGAAACTTGTGGAAGATACTACTTGTATGAAATTGGATTCCTTATGGTGTCTGGATGCTTGTGTATGACCGGATTCCAATGAAAGCTGAACTTGTGGAAGGTGTAGTGGTGTTATGTGGCCGATGAACTGTTTCGGCAGAAACCGGTGTCACTTAATCTACATAACACAAGAGATCAGACATCATAGAACCAGTCAACCAATAAACCAGTAAGTATGGAAACCAGAAACTCATACTAACTGTTTTTCCCTATTTGTAGTGTTCAACTACAAAGGTATCCCTTGTGCTTGCCCTTATTGCTGTGGTGTGAGCTGGTAAAGCCAGGATACCCAAATAAGTTGGTACTCAAACTGACTGTTTCTCTACTCCTGTTGTGATTGTGGTCAGTGAATGTCCATTATTTACCTGTCTTCTTTTGATTATGGCTACCATTATCACTCCTACACAAATCCTTGAAGGAACACAGTTTACAGCAGTTTGTTGTAATACTTGTTTTTTCAATTTCAGTACACTTTATGCCATGAAACATTGATTTGAATTTAAACATCGACTCTTTGTGCTTGTTATCATATTTCATATATTTCAGTTATGATGGGGAAGAAACCAGAGCTGGCGTGGAGGCCGAGCCATCCTGTACCCTGGATTTGTCGATCAGGTATGTGACTTAATTCAATTTTTTGGATTAATAACTGTCTTATACCTTTCCTTGAGAATTAACATTACGTGATTTCCAAGTTGAAAAAAGCACAAAGCATAACAAGAGTGACTTGTTAAACAAGTATTTGGTGATACATTGTGATACTAATTTTATCAAACTTGTCATTTCAGGTCTTGATCTGAGGAACCTGTCGGACATTATTCTGCCACATCACTTTTAATTGGAGCTACCTCACCTGATAATTGAATACAAAGACAGAAAATCCTGCCAAGTTTACCATTTTACCGAATTCTTTTGGTGGAATCTACCGTGTGCTGTTGCAGCTTTCAGAGAAGGATGTTTTAGTAGCTGAACGGAGTTCATATCGCCAGAAATCCTCAGACGGGACACTATAATTTTAAAGTTAAGCGATGTACCAAGTACGAGAGAAACATGAAAAGATTTCAAGATCCATAAAAGTTTGAAGGATTCGTTGAATCAAGCCAATAGACCAACGTACTGATGCAGCATCTAAATTACAACACAAATTGTTGTTTGCTGCGGTTCTAAGAATAGCAGCAAATTATCTTTTTCACGGTTCCAACTTATTGATAGCTGTCATGGAGACTCAAGTATAAAAAGGCGGGATTTTACTGAGGTGATCATTCTAAGCTGACATCGCTGCATGAGTTTCGTTTGTCAATGCTTTTTTTTTTTTTTCTAGTTCAACCTCTCTCCCTCGAGGTTCCTGTTAAGTGTCTGGCTCTGCTTACGGGAGGGTTCAGGTTTCCTCCTTAGCTAAGGGGGTTTTTCCTGACGGGCAGCAGACACTATATCATTTTTATTACATTATCGATCAAAGAACTTTACTTAGAGCTTGTTACATTTTTCCTGCTTCACTACCTTTATTGGTATACACCTATTTTACTGTGAAAGGTTTGAACCCAGGAGTCATTTCAAAAGGTTGAGTTTGATCGTCCGGGTGAACGTAGTCCTGAATAGGACTGTTGTTGTTGACAGTGACTGACGTTTCGACAACCTGTGTGGTAGTCATCTTCAGAGTAAAAGTGAGTTGTATCACGTCAGTTGATGGTGTTATACTCTGGTTATTGATCTGATTGGTCAATTATGTCGCGATGTTATTGGTCGTCTGTCAGTTAAGCCGTGATGTTATTGGCTATGAAGACTCGTAATCAGTGATTGGTGCGTTTCGATCCGTCTATTCTTGCAGTTAAACAGTCGTCTATTGTTAGTCAAATTGTTAGTTCTCCAGTTGTTCTCTCGTAGTTAGTTTTGCTTGATCTCGTCAATAAGTCGTTTGTACGGCGCTGGTAACATCAAATTGACTGGGACTCTGCGACATGTATAACGTATTCTACAGACTACTATCAACGTCTTACTTTAGAAAGCTGGTTTACTAACTTAGAACAAACGCCACTGAATCGTAGTCAACAGTTACCAGCGCCGTACAAACGACTTATTGACGAGATCAAGCAAAAGTACGAGAGAACAACTGGAGAACTAACAATTTGACTAACAACAGACGACTGTTTAACTGCGACAATAGACGGATCGAAACGCACCAATCACTGATTACGAGTCTTCATAGCCAATAACATCACGGCTTAACTGACAGACGACCAATAACATCGCGACATAATTGACCAATCAGATCAATAACCAGAGTATAATACCATCAACTGACGTGATACAACTCACTTTTACTCTGAAGATGACTACCACACAGGTTGTCGAAACGTCAGTCACTGTCAACAACAACAGTCCTATTCAGGACTACGTTCACCCGGACGAATAAACTCAACCTTGTGACACCTATTTCAATTAAGCTTGCTCCCGTGAACTATGTTTCATAGCCTGCAGTGCACTATGGTGTAAACCCTTTTGCAGCGGGAAGTTTAGTCTTGTTCACATTCATTGAAATAATGGAGACCATTTGTGAAGAGGCGTTCAAGACAGCTTTCAAGTAAAATAGCTGCTAAAATTCTTGAGCATGAGCGAGCTGAAAAATTTCATTTTAAAAATCTCATAGTAAAAAATTAGGAGCCTCTTGTTTTAACAACATTAAATGAAGAGGGTTTCACCGCCTGATTCAGATGCGTTTTTGCATGGGCCAGAAGGCTGGTTATTTCAAAAAAGCAAATCAACGCTATTCTTTTTTTTAATTCAGATTTTTAAAAAAATGCCTCAAAAGTACATAAACACGTAATGTTAAGTTATTTATGGTTGTTCAACAAACGTCTTGAATTTGATCTTTTTTAATCTCCATCCAAAATTCCCACGTGAAAGAGCCAAGCCAACTCGTTGAAAATTTGCAACATTTGCCTGTTACCACAGAGAAAAACCTAACCTCAAATCACTGTCTTAAATTAAAAGGCCTAGGATTCAGTGTTTTGAAATAAATAGTCTTAACATTCTGCTGACATAGCATAGAAGCGTTAGCAGCGTTTGCTTCCTAGGTTTCTAGGCTCGTTGCGGGCACATAATTTCCTAGACTTGTTACGATAATGCACCGCGGGCTATGAAACACGGATCATCCATCATTCTTCTCTGAAGCAACCTTAAACGGGGACTAGTGTTCGCATTACGCTGGGCTTCTATTCAGTGCAGGAGGCAGTTTTACTATTTTTATTTTCACTGTTCACTGTTTCAACAATAGGGAATAGGGAAAACCCAACAAACAACAAAAGTTAAAAGAAATTACAGTTCGACTACCTAAACACGACAGCGGCAATGAACGAACGTTGATTGTATACAATCAGTCACTTATATCTAGTTAAATACAAGATTTACAATTCTTTCAATTTCTTGGTATTTGACCGTCAGGGGAAAGGAAACAATCGGTATCAAGAGCTTTATTAAGAGCTATCTGTAAGAAAGTTCCATTTTTTAATATAATAGATAGATATAATTTTTCAATATAATAGATCTTGAATTAAAAGAGCTGTGTCACGAAATTCAGCCAAATTAGGAAATTACAAAATGCCCGTTAAATTAAGAGAAACATAAAAATAGCCGCTTAAAACTTTAAAGGAAGGTTAAAATAACATAACAGAAACAACAGATGCCACGGATGGGCAAAACTGAAGAAGATTGAAACGGATTGAAATTAGGGTTTTTGAAAACTGTTCAGCCTAACAGGTTTTCAAAGTTGGTCCCTGCTGCTTGCAACTTCAAAAATAATGCTCAGGAGACATATTTGTTTGTCACGGATGTCTGATTTTGTCATTGAAATGTAATTTCTTTGCTTACTTTAAGTTTCATAGCGATTGAGGGCGAGTAATTGGCAAAATTAAACAAAATGAACTGGACTGCCGTGACACAGCCCCTTTAACCAGGCATAGAAAATTTGCAAAACTAGGCGATATTTCATCCATGTTGGCTTGCCAAATATGAAACGGCACTAACAGGAGACAACAGTTTAATTGACACTATTATTCTGTAGAATGAGGCTGCTGTCTCAAGCCCAGTGCAGTAATGTTCAATAAGTTGTATTTACCGATTAACGGAACAGCGTTTTGAAGCTAGAAGTCAGTTAGACTTTTCCAAAATGACGATGTAACATGGCAAGACCAAAAAAGATGAATTAGCGTCTGAGAAATTGTTGCAAAAGGTACAGTTGTCATTTACTTTTCGTCCTGTTTTAAGTAAGAAATCATTGGTTAGTATGCGCCTATGTAATAGTGGAACTCTATCAGTTTGGTTCTTTTTGTGCACCGCTGCGCCATAAGATAGGCAAGTTCCCAATTAATTGTTCCTTCTTCGTCTGAGAAATTACAGTCTTGAAGCCATTTTAGTTGGCTTTTATGTGGGGTCTGATCAGTTTTTGGTAAATTAATGGACCTGTCATTTCCCTCCTAACAAGAAGAAGAGAAATTTCGTATCTCCAAGCGGCCATGTAATGTTCTATTTATTACATAAAAACTAATGAAATACCAACCCATTTCAATTTAATAATTTTTTGATGTGGAAGGCGCGATTTATTATGTAGCCATAGCAACGGTGATATTTTTAGATGTGAATGTTGACATGTGAAGATATCAAGTTTTCGCGCGAAAGTTCACCCGGTATTTCATTGGTGTTTATATAATAAGAGTGGTATCATCAGTGTATTGGCTTATCTTAACTTCGTCATTACCTAGAGAAAAACCTCATGCTCTTATTGTTTCGGACGGTCATGGCCAAGACCTCCGCAGCAAGAATAAACAAGTGTGGGAAATGTGGAGGTGGTCTGAGAGACTTATTAACATTTTTTAGTTTTCTTTGACTCAAGATATCTGTCGGCTATTTTCTCATTATAAAATGTAGACCGCTAAATATTAATGCCATTTTCTTAATACGATAATCTTATCGTAGGTTTCTCTCATATTTATAGCTGGATTAATAAACTAAAAGTTAATGTGCTTTGGTTACAAGATTTTTTGGCAGAGAGTAACACAACCCTTGTTTGGAAATCGGGATATAACCATAGGAAGGACCTACAAATTTTAAAAAGTTCCAAAGGGGTTGACACATGATTTTGATAAAAAAATTTGGAAAATTTTTCCCTTTTCACTTTTGCTCAAGAAAGGCCTAAAATGTTTTAATGTTCCTGATATAAAATACGCCTTCCCAAGCTATGAAGATATACTTTTGGAAGAAATCGCCATTTTGGATTTATTACAAAGGGGTTAACCCATGATTTTTGTCCCAAAATTGGAAAATTCTTCTCTTCATTTTTCCTCAAAATATGCTTTAAAATGATTTTGGTTATATTCTTCATATAAAATAAGCCTTT